ATTTTCACATCGATACTTTTTCCGAGCTTGGAGAACATTCAGGAAGATTTGCCGAAGTCTTGGAAAGTGATGTTGAAAAACTCATTGAAAACGAATAAAAAAAAAATGTTGTCTTTTATGTAGGTATTTCATTAGTATCGCTAAAATAAACAGATCATTACATGGCCGCTTGGGGATACAAATTTCATTTTCTCGTGCTGAAAGTATCTCTCACTCGAAGATGAAATTCGTATCCCCGCGCAGCCATGTAATATCCTCTATTTTTGCCGTGATAGACATTAACAGATGCTTCGTTAGGTGGGATAGGGAAATCCATATATTCAACCCTTGTTTTCGAGCATGCCCACAAAATTGAACACCTTTATTTCACTAAGAGAAATTCCGATCTCATTGAAACAGCATGTCGCTATGTTTAAACTGAGTTTTGTTCTGTCTCTTTGCTTGTTTGGCTGTTTTCTTTTTTGCGACAAACATCAGGCTTGAGGCTCCAAAGTTATCTTGATATTGAAATTATAGAAATTTATTTTTTCTTGGAACATATGCGACTGTTCTCTTTGATTACCTTATTCCTCAGAGAGATCTCACTTTTGGTACTTGGGATAGAGATCCTGATAATTGTGCTCGAAAAAGAGGCGGAGGCTGGTGGTATGGCATTGGTAAAGATTGAGCTGTTCGTTCAAATCTCAACGGTGTTTTCCCACGTTGTGGAAATGAAACCTTGGCCGATATTCACTGGGGAGAATTAGTTCTTACCAGTGCCAAAGGAAGCACTCCCACGACTGAGATGAAAATTCGACCACTAGACTTTCTTAGAACTTTCCGTAAGATAAGTAACACCACATATTTAAGTGAATAGTGATTTTCGCGTGTTCTTATCAGTTCAGGGCTTGGAGGTGATAAGCAATGTAAAATTCACCCAGTAGAGTCGAATCTTCCATATTCCCTGCTTTTACTACGTTTGTGATTGGCTGATTAGTGATCAAGTGGCCTTGCTAGAATTTGCCGAGAATCCGCTGGTAAAACATCATTGACAACTGTTTCCCTCGCGACCAGACATCAAACGCAATAATTTGACTTGCATCTATAGTGATGTTACCTCTATTTTACGTTCCTTTCATTGTTTCGGTGTATATTTTGTGAACCATGATTTAAAATACTGCAATTCAAAAATTATTCCGCTTGCTGTCGGAAGAAACCAAAATATTTCTAAATCCAGTTTTCTAATATCTTACTCAGTGATTTATGCGCGTGGTATGAATTCTTTGGAGGTGAAATCCGCACCGGCCTAATTTATTCTGTTTTTAAAATATAGGGAAGTAAAGAAAACTACAAGGTTATGGTAACGAGAACGTCAAAATAAAGGATATCTGGGAAAAAACAATAGTTCAGCCCATGCGTTAAAAGTTTGTATATTTTTTTCCGTCATCTGCAAAACAACAACGCGAAATCACCAGACTTTGCGCGTTCTGACAGAAAAATTACGAATGCAAATGAGTACCTGCGTCAACTTTTTCTAACTTTTCACTAACTTCTTTGAAAAATTTAGCCGACCGTTTGCAGGCGGTTGTGAACTTGTCTCGGATAGGCGAAACAAATTGAGGGGGGCGAGTTGTCTCATTTCAGCAGGTAGGGTAGCCCGGGCAGGTGGGGCAACTTTTTCTCATGTTAACACTTTGTCTGGCTGATTCGAGGCGAGACAACTGGAATAGAAAGTGCGTGCGCATGTTATTATCAGGATGTTTACAGCAATTTTTTCCTATCGTCCGCTATTTTTCGAATATGTAACCTGGCCGAATGAAGGTTAACAGGTGTCAAATTCCATATAAACGTTTCGCAAAGTTGTCTCGCAAGGGAGAGGGTTATCTCGGGTACCTTAGACCATATAAATGGGGCCTGAGTTATGCAAAAGCAGAGTTGAAGCGCAGTAAGAGACGGTTTAAACATACAGCCATTCACGAAATTCTAACTTACAAGAGATATTCATTTTTTTAATCGAAGTGTTCCTCGGCGTTCCTGTCCTGACTGCTTAAGGTCCCTATTAAGAATAATTCTTTACTACAAGAAAACACTTGTGTACTTTTTCAATCACTTTGCATAATTATGTCGATGTCTTGTCGACTTCCTCGACGTCACCCTAAACCTCACGGACGGAACCCACTATCCATGCAGAAAGCCTAACAACAAAACTCTCTACATCGACACCAATTCCAACCATCTGCCTAAAATGATAAAACGCCTACCAGCAGCCATCGGTCGACGAATCTCCGACATTTCCTTAAGCAAAGAACTCTTTAACAAAGCCAAACCACACTACAAAAGTGCACTCAAACAAAGTGGACACGACGAAGAATTAATCTACAATGAACGCAAGAAACCTGTAATTCGCATTATACAGAACAGCCGCAAGAACAGACAAAGAAACATAATTTGGTTTAATCCGCCCTACAGCATGAACGTACAAACAAACATCGGCAGAGAGTTTCTGAACCTCGTCAGTAAA